CTATCTCAAGTTCAGCTTTCAGCTCCAAAACTGCAGAAGTGCATCTGATGTCTTTTAGATGACTTCTCACTTCACCTGTTCTCCTTCTTGTTTTATTTTTACATTTCTTCAGCTGTGGAATTGGACTTGTCCCCAAGTCACAGTGCTTAAATAATAATAAATGCTCAAATTTTTTTTTTCTATGCTTTCTGAAGTTTGTGCCACTGGTATGCTTACAGTTTAAGCTATTGGGATCGTATTTTGGTGAATTTTCCTTTTGTCTGAGAAGCTTCTAAAAACTTACTGCTGTTACTTTTGGGGTAGCTCTTTCTGGTCTCTTCTCATATGGGAAGGGCTAGAAAATAATACTATTTTATTTTCACCATGTTTTGTTCAGTTGAAACATGGGATTCATTCTTTACCAATGTGAAATCTCAGTGGGAAAATACCTGTAATCAGCATCCTTTTTGAAGCAACCATGCTGTTTTATGTAAGGAAAACTACTGAGAGCTTTGAACATCATTTTCTTAGAGTGGTTTTTAATTTTAATGGCATTCCCACGAAGTCACTGTAGCTTAATAATTTAGGAATCTGAGAAGAGTTTTGTTCTCCAGTTTGTAGGACCCTTCTGTGTGTAGATTGAGTAGCTGTTAGGCTAACTGTGTGGCTAAGTCCTTCCATCCGTGGCCTTGCTGCTTCTCTTGTAAAGATGCATCTTGCTTTCAGACTACATATGAAGGAAATTTTCCCAAGTTCTTGACGAAGTGGAGTTTTATCAGGCACTTCTCCCAATACTGGGATTATGTTAGTCTTTATCATCAATCTGCTAGGATAATAGTCTTCCTTGGGCATGATGGTAATGTATTTTATAGTGCCTACAGATTAAGACCAAAATACTAATTAATAAAAACCTGCCCAGTTCTGAAAATCTGTTGGTCCTAAGTTTTTTGGCATTGTAATAAGAGAACTGATGTGATAAAATTCATTTGAAGTAAACCTTATCAGGTCTTGAGCCAGAGACTGGGAAGGGAAATGACCAAGGTGATGGAGAGGGGTACACAGAACCATGGAATGGGTTGGGTTGGAAGGGGCTGTGTAAAGATCATCTAGTTCCAACTCCCCCGTTCCTGCGCCTCACTACTTGAAGTTAAGAATTTCTACCCAACATCTAATCTGATTCTCTCCTCTTGTAGTTGAAAAACATTTCCCCTTGTCCTGTCACTGTCTGCCCATGTATAAAGTATCTATCCCTCTGTTTTATAAGCCCTCTAAGGACTGGAGGGCTTCAATGAGGTCTTCCCAGAGCCTTCTGATCTCTGTGCTGAACAGCCCCAGCTCTCAGCCTGTCTTCACTGGAGAGGTGCTTCAGCCCCCTAATCATCTTTGTAGCCCTCCTCTGAACTTGCTCCAAAAGTTTCACATCTTTCCTGTACTGTGGACCCCGGAGCTGGATGCAGCACTCCAGGTGGGGTCTGATGAGAGCAAACTACCACATGGACAGAATCCCCTCCCTCGACCTGCTGGCCACTCCTGTTATGATCCAACCCAGGATGCAGTTGACCTTCTGGGCTGCCAGCATGTGTCCAGCTTTTCATCCACAAGAACCTGCAAGTCCTTCTCTGCAGGACTGCTGTAAGTGAGACACACTCTGTGTGTCCTCATGTCTGTGATTGCTGCAACCCAGGTGCAGCACCTTGCACTTGGACTTGTTGAACTTCATGAAGTTCTTGTGGACTCAGTTCACAAGTCTCCCTGAATGGCATCCCATCCTTCTGTTATGTCAGCTTCATGTCATCTTCAGATGTACTGAGGGTGCACTCGGTCCCACTGTCTGTATCACTGGCACTGGTCACAAGACAGAGCCCTGAGGGACGCCACTCATCACCAGCCTCTGCCTGAACACAGAGGCATTGACCACACTGCTCTGGCCTCATCCATTCAGTCAGTCCTTTGTCCACCACATAGTCTATCCTTCAAATCCCTTTTCCTCCAGTTTGGAGATAAGGATGAGGAAGTGCATGTGTGCCAACAGAATCTCTGGTAAAGTGAAAGAAACTGTTTTTGCAGTGAGGAGTTTGCTTCCTCTGAACACGGTTCCTGAGGAAGCAGATCTACAGGTACCAGTAACTACTGTTTTTGACCTTTCAGTATTTTGCTGCTACCCATTCCATGGTGATGATACAGAAATCATTTAGAGCAGTTTGATTAACACTGTATGATTTCTGGCATGAAATTAGTTTAATGTATTGAGGACTGGAATTGTACTTCCCCAGCTGGATTTGGCATCTATGTTAAACGAAGCCTTTTGTGAAAAGCAATTGTAACAACAGTGGTTTAGTTTAAATGAGCTCCTGATGTCATGGTGAAAACAACTACAATTTTCAATATTTTTCATCTAAGCTACAGGTTGATAAAAGAGGAGTTTCATTCTGAGCTTTAAGTAAGGGGCAGGGTAGGCAGCTTTGCTTCTGTCCTGGCCATTACTCAGAAGCACATTTATGAACATTTTACACTATAAAAATTAATCATCAGACTTAAATCTGCTGGTGTAAATGAACAGGAGAATCCTTTATGGGGAGTAATAACTGGACATTTTAATTTGAACTTACAGGGCTATGTCCCCTTGTCTTGGGACCTTTTAATGACCATTACTGCATATTGTGTACTGCTTTTCCTTCTTGAAAGACATTTTAGTTCTGGAGGAAGGATTCTGTTCAGCAGCCTGTACCACTGCAGTTTCTTATAATCACTTTCATCTCTTCACAGTTTACAGTCTGCCAGTTATCAGTTATTTGATGCAAAGAAGAAAGTATACCTGTAGTAGTTGGTAACATTTTCCCCTAGATGGATTTGTTCTCAGTGCCTTTGCTTTGTGGTAGAGTGGTAGTTCCTGGGAAGTTGTTTCCATTTTTACTTCCTTGTTGACATGTTAGACAGTGATACAAATTGTTCCTCTTCTCATTTTTATCTTAGTGTATGTTCTGAGTGACTTTGTCACTTTATCACTGTTTATTTGACCCTTCTACATTTTTTTTTGCATATGATTGAAAAAGCATGCATACTCCCAGACCAGAAATTTTTAAGTTAATTCTGATGCAGATGAGGCTTTCCCCTAGCAAACTACACACTGAATTGCAAAGTGTGTGAGTGTTTCTGGTTCCTCCTTTTCATCTGTCATGGCTTACAATTAGCATTTCATTTTTAAACAAACTAGCAATAACAAATCTAAAAGGATTTGACCATGCTTTTTGGACGGTGTTTAGTCTTTTTGTCATTTTAAGGCCATAGCTGATGGCTGTTAGCCAAGGTGCATAGTATCCAACAGCTATACTCTGTGATATTGCTGGTTTTTAACCTGGTTTTTGGTCACAGGCTCTCCGGTAGATAAACTGGTGCTGAATACTGCTTTTCTTGGGATTTAAAGACAAGTTCAGGGGATCATATTTGTTCATCTAGAAAATGGTAATCAAGACGAAGTTGTTTTCTCAGGGGAAAAAATCAGCAGAAGTAACAATAGGAGTAATGATTGTAGTACTGGTACTGTGATATTTTTCTTATCCTTTGTACTTGGCAAAACAGCAGTAACACTGAACTTCCCAAATTTTTTATAAAAAAGATCCATGTGGTGTGACAAAAAATCAAGGCAGAAAATGGCCTTGGTTGTTTGTTCATTAGGACTGTTGCTGTAATGTGTAAGTAAACTATAAGAAAATATTAGCAACGGCTTGTTTTACTGCATGAAATTTTTTGGTGATGAGCGCTGAAGATTCCCTGTTACTTCTCAGAGCTTGTCATGTTTAAATCTTATTCTGATTATGCAGTTGTCTTGCCTGGAACCTTTCTTGTTGTACAATGAATTGTGAAGCTTTCTTTGTGTTAGTGGTAATAGTGAGCTGATTTTCACAATACTTATGAATGGTAATGCAAACACACTTTTAAAAAAAAAGTACTGATCCAAAAGAATCTCAACTAACCATATTTGTCTGTATAAAGTTAATTACAAATAAGTCCTTAAGGCTAATGTGCTCCATTTATTCTGGAATGCATTTTGTAGTTTACTCTGTTCCAGAACAGTAGATGTTATCAAATAACTGGGAGTGGTCAGCAAACCTGTACCAGGAGCAGGTATTAAAGTTGTGTACAACTGCACCTTTCTCAGTTTTCCTTGGTTCCAGTTTGGATATAAAAAGGATATCAATAAAAAAATTCTGAGAAAAAAAATACTCTTAAATAAAATGAACAGGTTCACAAAAGGACACATTTTTATTCTTCAGAGAACTTCAGTAAAATTTGACTCAAGTTTGTTTAAAGATGTTCATAAAAGAGGTAATTGAGAAATTACTCATTTTGACTATACCTGCTTTGACAATAAAACTGGATAAAGAACAAAAATGCAGATATTCAATCAAATCTACACTTTGTTATTTAAGTGAGAGCTCTTTTGAACTGTGTGTTTTGTAGCTGTGTTCTGGATCTGTCACAGAATTAGTGGCTTGCTAGCTGCTGTCTTTAGATACCTGACTTCGCAGGAGTAGTGGCAGAGTAACCCAGTACTGTGGTAGTAACATATTACTGAATTTCATTTGTTTCTAAAGTATGTTAGTTATATTTTCTACAGGTATTCCTCTGTTCAGCAACTTTAGCTGTGACAATATTGTTCCTGTTTTAGATTGTTACTTGATCAGATGATTTATTTAAATATTAAATATGTACATGGAATTTCTGGAAGGAATTTTCAAGGCTGTATATGTGTAATGAATAAGTACTATGTATTTTGTAGCTGGTGGAAGTGTTGGGAAAAGTCTGATTGTCTCAAGTAGAGCCAGAAGGGGTGAATAAAATACCTAAAAATCCCTATTTCTGATTGATATTTTTGTAGACTACTCTGTGTGAGTACTTTAGACAACAAACATCAGGGGCTTGGTGGGTGAATTAAATCTTTAATATGTGTATGCTACTGAATACCTAGTCAAGTCAAGAAAAGCAAATTTAACCCTGATTTCCTTTGCTTGCTTTAATAGTTGTTACTCAACCAAGCCCATCAGTTGCCCAGCCTAGTACTTCAGAGAGCGAAGAGAGAGCTGCTGAACTGCCGAAACCAAAGAAGAACAGATGTTTCATGTGCAGGAAGAAGGTTGGCCTTACAGGTATGAGAACACTGTCAGTTTTGGACAAATCTGGATGATTAGTTACATCTTGCTAGATTAAACTTGATAAATTATGTGTTCTACTAAATTTATTTGCAACCATTCATTTTTCTTGCTCTGTATGTCAATGTAGATAAACATACCCCCTTTGTGGTAACTATGCTTTTAATTAACAATTTTAACCTAATTAAAAGCAAATCTTCCTAGTGATGTTTCTTTTTTTTCTATGTACAGGATTTGACTGCCGATGTGGAAACTTATTTTGTGGACTTCACCGTTATTCTGACAAGCATAACTGCCCATATGACTACAAAGCAGAAGCTGCAGCAAAAATCAGAAAAGAAAATCCAGTTGTCGTGGCTGAAAAAATTCAGAGAATATAAATTAACCTGCTTGTGAAAAGACTGACTGACTTTTTGTGGGGCTTTTTTTTTTCAATACATCCTAAAAAACATGAAAGAGCAGGTGCATGGCCATTTTCCTTTGTTCTTCAAAATTTTACTTCTAGTCCTGTCTGTCTAAATGATATTTCGAAATGTTTGGGTGTTTGTTACAGGCAGAATTGGATAGATACAGCCCTTGAAAATATACATGCCCTTCCCAGAATATAGTTGGATGATCAGAAAGCTGCACAGGAATACATATGCACAGAGGACAGACTCTAGTTCACGCGTGCCAAACAGATGTGTACTGTCTGCATGTATGCAGCAGATCTGCCTTTTGAGATGTGCTTGAGGTATTTAATGTTTGGCTAATGTTACTGGCCTGTTTTGGAGAAGGATACATCAAAACGGTGGCAGTCTACTTCCATCATTTAAAATCTCATTCTAATTTTAGTTTCCACACTCCATTTTAGTTTTCCAGCAGAATGTGAGCTGTATAGAAGGGTCCCCCATCCCAGAAAGATGAGTGTTGGTGCCATATTTAAGTCACTTAACAATTGCACTGAGAAAAATGGAAAAAATCAGATACATAGAAGAAGAAAATTGTTTTGGAAAAGATTACATTGACTTTAAAATCTTGAAAAGATGTTCCCAAATGAAATGTCCTGTTAAGAGCTTATGAACTAGCCTGCAACAGAGTTGTCTGCTTTTCCTTGCATAGCTAAAAATGTGTAGCACAGTATTGTAAGATTGGCTTACAGAATAAGGTTACATACGTTTCTAGACATACCACAGCAGCTCTATCAAGCAACACGGGTCTAAATAAGTTGCTGAAGTATTAGAGCAGTTTATTATTCATATACTACTTATGTTCTGTGTGTTCCGAGTTCAAAAGAATATTAGGAGTTAATTTTTCTAGTTTTAAATGTATTAACAGTTGCACCATTCTGCATGGAAAACCATACCCAACATGGCTGCTGTAGTGGTAGCTGGAACCACTCCTGGAGGGCTGCTTTATCATTTTTAATTGTACTTGGGTATAGGACTGTAGTGTTCTTGGGTGTATTGCATGGGCTGCATTATCTATGGCATTGTACAATAACAACTCTAGAAAAGGCAGTATTCTTCACTGATGCTTGTCTGGTAATATATATCACTTCTGTGTTATAATGGAAGGGGGTTTTGTGATGTATGAAACTTGTGTTTTTATATAAACAAATACGGTTTTAGACTAGTGTTGTGGTAATGCCTGTTCGCATTTGTAAATAGTTACGTATGTACACAAGGCGCTACTCCTGACCTTCTGATTTTTATTGCCAGTGTTCAGTCTTAGTTTTTACTTCACTATTAAAAGTGTCAGGTTTTTGCTTCTAACTTTGTTCTTCTGAGTTATTAGATATGCAAACATGTACAGATAGTTCTTATTTATGTATTGCACATAAGCTACCCAGCATCTATGCTATATTGTATTATGTAAATAATAAAAATAATGTACAGAAGGAAATACTTCCTTTTGTGATAGTTCATTGGTTTTAATTATTGCTGTAGGGAGGATATGACCTTGTAGAAGTTGAGGTGCAGAGTTTATACTGAGTTCTTACAGATGTTGTCTTTATGCTTTAGCCTGCCTACGTCCTTATTTCTTATTTGGATTTACCAACTTCTTTTGAGACAACTTTCACGAGCAACTGGAGTACAGGTAACTACTTGATGGCCTGACAAAAATGCCGACGAACAACAGTGTGCTTAAAGGGAGCAAAGGACAGTACTAGCAATGAACTTCAAACTTATTTCCAGTGGATCTGTTATGATAGAGCCAGTACGCTGACTACATCATTCTGTCCACATCTCACCAGCAGACCTGGGCAGAGTTACTGTCAGTGTCAGCAGCCAAATACAGATGGTAAATATGCCCAATTTATCCTTCCCAATGGGGAAGAAAAAGGACACAGTACGCAGCATGTGTTGCCATGGAGGAAGACATCTTCGCTACTGGATGTTGCACAAAAATTGCTTTGTATCAGAAATGGATAATGTGTATGCCACCAGTCAGCTGATAGTCAACATAAGTTAATACTCCAGCCACTGTGTATACGTCCAATAAGGAAACACAGGCATGCTCTGGGACTTCATTTTCCTGGATGAATTTTAGGATGTCATCATGGAACTGCTTTAAAGCACTAAAGTTATTTTTCTACCTTTTGTATTAAAGCAATATCAGCAACTCCACTACAACATAGAATGTTTTTCTCTTTTTTATCCTTTTTTATCCTTCCCTTCTGAACTTGAGAATGCCCTGTAACTGGATATTTGAGGAGACCTGTCTGATTTTGATACTGTCTTGGCTAGAGTGGTTTAGGACAGGTAATAGTACTGATACTGTTAGGTAATGATGATGATGGTCTCAGTCTCATGGTCTGCATTCTTCTGTACAAATCTGTACTTGTGAACTCTTGTTTAAATATTTAATCTTGGTACATCTGTACAGGAAAGTATGAAATGAAAAATCCCTCTTTTTCTTCTAAAATTGTGAATGGTATCATGTAAATTACACTTAAGAGGGGTATGAACCTGTTTTCAAAACTAAGTCTGCAAGCTCCCTGGACCTTTGTTCTTTTGATAGTGTATATAGTGTGTATAATCATTCAGGAACTCTAATTCTGTTGATGCTCACAGAACAAAGGAGGGGAAGATTGTTTAACAAGAGCAGATGTTGACAAAGTGTGTGGAATGGGGCAGGGGGGAATGTTTAAACTTACGTGGTACATCTTCCAAGAGAGAAACATAATCACATATTACTGATCTCATTTAACATTTGGCTGTTAGACTGAGATCTTCTTAACTCATACATAAACACACTGTTTTGGGAAGAGTCTTCCTCTATTCCAAACAACTTTACCAGATGACCAGGACTTTTTTATGTAAAAACAAATGAATAAGTGAAAACAGGTGATGAAAAATGAATAATCTTCAATCTGAAATAGTTGCCTCACTGTGTTATGGCTGTGCAATACTGTGTTCCACAGTATTCTGAACAACTGTTACTGTTGACCTCAAATTTGGAATCTAAAGATGACCTTGTGGTGGTTCCAACCTGTTGCTGCAGAGCTCATGAGCTCCCAGATGACGTGGTTGATTGTGATGCTTAAGGATGCCATGGGGTCAAGAAGCCCTGGCTACCTTCATGGTACTTAACCCTTTGGAACCATGCTTCTGATCATTGTTTACTCTGTTTTGGAAGGTAATTGTTCACGGGTGTAAGGGAGTGTCTTAGATGCTTGTATGTCATGTCTATCAGTCACTGAAAGGGTACTTCAAGGATTTTGACTCATGTCTGGTGTCTGTAATGAGTCAAAACACATGTCAGTTTCTGGGTGTTCCTAAGCTGTTCTACAATATCATCCGATGTGTATGCTTGAAGGAGGAAATGTACAGCAAAAAGCAAATTAGATTGTTTTAGGTACCTGGGTGTGTTAAGCAGCTATGATTCAGTCACAGAAGGAAATTTGTTTTCTGTATAGATGTGTGCTTTTTATGTGTGTTTCATTAGTTTCTCAGCCAGCCAGAAATAACAGTTTCTCACAAATGACCTATTACTGACTCCCTCAATCATTTTTTGTTATTAAACACCTAGGATATTTGCTGGATTGTACTCTGATTTGGGAGGGTTCTGGTGGTACATGTGAAAGTACTTGGATGACATTGAAATTAATAAATTACAAACCTGAACAGTTAAAAAACTTGAGCTGGAAAAATAGTGAGAGTGGCTGTGTGTGGAAATGTTAAAGCATAATCCAGGAGCAGAACCTGTAGTGAGAGTTAGTTATCACCACAGAGTTTTAAATACCATTTTACAAACCTGAGTTATCCCTTAATCTACTGTAAACACTTAACAGAAAGTACTTCAGCCTTTAAATTACCTATTTTAGAAGTAATTTAGCGATGGCCAAAGAAGCAAGGTTGGAGTTCGAGGGTTTTTTTTCACTGAAGAAAATAAAGACCATTTCTGCTTGAAAGGGCTCATCAGCCTAATAACACAGAACCAAGGATGAGATTTCTGATGGTATGAAGAACTGAATTCTGTAGGATGCAAATCAGCAGAATATCAGGATGCTGTGATTTAAATTAAATTAAAATAAAGGTAAAGATGGCAACACTGAAATGCAAGAATCAACACCCAAAATGGTAACAAAAAACACTGCCTTGACTGTTAATTTATGTAGGTAAGATCTTTACCATTTAAAATAAAAAGTTGATAATTGAAATTATTAGTGTCATAGCTTCCTGAAGAATCTGTGTCTCACTCACCTTTTTTACTAGATGGTAAGATGAAGATGACAAATTCTTTTTTCAATGCCAATTCATTTCAGTGTGTGTTTCTCATGTCAGCTCATTGTAGCAATGTGAGAGGTTGGGTTTCTCAGGTGAGTCTTACTTTGGCTCAAACCTGCTAAGTAAGATATCTATATCATTATTAACCCCTCTTGTAGTACTAGCTCTTTTCTGCAACCAGCTCACAACGTTTATTCCCAAGCAGCAATAAGCCTGCTTATCACAATCTAAGGTTTATTAATTATGGAAAGAAAACAAAAAATAAATGGGATAAATATATATGCTCTTGTACCTGAGTACAAGCATGCAGGGTTGGACTTTGATGATCATCGCAGGTCCCTTCCTACTCAGAATATTCTGTGATTCTCTGATTCTCTATTGTGTAATGAGTCCTGGCTCAAGGCAAGTTAAGCCTGACCATGGGCTCCTGAGAGGGTTGTAGAGTGAAGTGCCTCCCTCTCTGTAGGGATTTTACAGATTACCCATAGCCTGAACCCTCCTGCTCCTCCTCCTTCCAAATTGGCTGCCTGTAATGCTAAACAAATACCATTGCTGTGTGATACTATTTTTGACCCATACACAAGTGACAACATCTCTCAGCTATGTTACTATGACTGTAGAGCAAGTTCTTACTTTGTTTTGTTTTGCATAATGGTTATGTTGGGTTTTTTTAAATATATATAGGTTGTATTGTATCAAGGAATTTTGTAGGTGAAATATAAAATGCCTTCATCTTTTTCATTTTTCTTCCTGGTTAACAGTGTGTACTGCAAAGGATTCAACTGAACACAAGGTGATACATAGTATTTACAGTGATCTCTGTTTAAGACCAGCCCAAATATCAGTGTAACATTACTTTCTCTATTGAGACAGAGTCATGTTTGCTACATGAACCACCAAAGCTGGCATGCCTCATGAAAAATGTTGAAATCCAAGGAAAGAGTTAGAATCACAGACTGCATAATAGTGAAATGTATTTGCCTGATTGGACTCAAGACACCTTAGCTGCCCACTGAATCATTTGCTAAGCTACTGCAAAATGTGTCTGCATCTGAATTGGTTTTACTACCAATCATACCCATAGCCAGCCATCCTCACCATGGTTTGAGTAGGGAAAAATCAACAGTTTTAAACTGCTTTGTTTTGGGGCTTTTACCAGGATTTTGAGATCGTTTTGATAGGGCTGTGAGCGCTGTTGATGGTAAGGTATTTTTAGCCTCATCTTGATCCATGTGTTTCTAGATTCTTCCTATAGCGCCTTCTGATGGTATATTAATGAAATCAATATAGATGGAGGCAACATGACCTAAACAGGATAAAATGAAGTCATGATTCACTACAGGGCCCTGCTCACTGCAGAACTTTTATGTCAACTTCTTGTTTCCGCTGCGGTCATGTCTGAGAGCACGGTGCTAGTAACACCAAGGTCACAGGTTTGATTCCTGTGTGGGCCATTCTCTTAAGAGAAGGACTCGATGATCCTTGTGGGTCTCTTCCAACTCAGAATATTTTGTGATTCTGTAAAAAACCTTATCAGTCCCTTTATCCAGTGTCTGATAGGTGCCATTAGATGTTAACTGGGCCCATTTAGAGATGTGTACTTGGACTTCCCTTTATTAGTTGGTTTTATTTTCAGATTTCATTGATAGTGGTCTTGACATGTAGTTAATGTATTTTGGTGTCTGAAAAGCATTTTGGTGGTGATGTTTTTTCAACTTGTTGGTGTACTCTTGTGAAAGAGGTTTTAGAAGCACAAAGCGTTTGCCAAGGTACTGGGTAGCAAACATGTAGGTGAAGAAATGCTCCTATAGTTCAGATCTTTCACCTTTGGAGACCTACAGTGCCTGCCTTTTTGCCTGATTAGTTTCCAATATAGGAAGGCAGAATAAGGTCCCACTGTGAATCTTCACTTGGTAGTATCATTGAGATTGTAGCACAGATCTGAGGAAAATAAAAGCAATGTAATTCGCTGTTCCTCATTCCTGTTTATGTACTCTTTACCATAGTGTACATTTTATGTTGTTTGAAACCCACCCAACCAATGTCACTTCTTGATGAGCATTTTCCTTGAGCAACCAGCATTTTTAGATTTGACTGAAGTTTCCCTTGGTAGGTTTGTGAGATGTTGGAGACATGGAGACTATACCCTGAGTTCCTAAGGAAACCTATGAAACAGTTTGTGCATGGGACTGTTTGACTTGGATAATGCTTCTAGGAGACCAGGTCAGACTAGGTTTAAACAAGATTAGGCTAAAGTAGGTTTTTCTTAGTTGTATTTTAAGTAGCATGGGATTTATGAGGGGAAAGTAGATTTATGACCCTGGAAAAATCTTGATTCCTTTCAGTCTGGTTTCATCTTCAAAGTGAGACTGAACTAGTTCCTTTGATTGCTATACTGGAGTCATCTGATGGATAATACCCGTATGGATTTGTGTATTTCTACTAGAAGCTCAAATTCTGACAGGCCTTGTGTGACCAAATTGTTGGATGTTTTGTTGCCAGTTCAGTCACCACAGCAGCTCATGGAAAACCACCAGATCTAGTGCAAGGATGATGCACAGACAGGCAGGAGAGGTGAGACCACCACACATACATTTGCACACACTTCTAGGGAACTGCAGTTTCAGTCTCAGTGCTAAAACAATTTGGCTGGTAGCTTCAAGCTTGTAGCAGTGATGAAAAGGATAGCATTTGCTATTGTGGCTTCAAGATTTGCTAGCTGAATCTGAGCCAGTCACCTGCAGGTTGCAGAAATAGGTTTACACTTGATGTAATGTGATGGCACTAGTAATTACATGTCAGTAAATGAAGGATCAACAGTGGTAATTGTTCACTGGCTCCTCAGCAGGATTTTCTAAGCTAGAATTTGGAAAACGTATTATGTTAGGAAATGGCCTTGAGGTTCAAGTTTATTTACTCATCATTTCACGTAAGCAGAGGTAGTTGTGTTTGTCATCTGCTGAGGCTGAATCACAGTTCAGCATGGAGTCATTTCTTAGTGTTGACCAGCCTTCAGTAAACAGAGACATTTAACACTCAGTCTGCAAACAGCTGCTGGAGATCAAAGGTTATATCAATGAATAGCATTAGGACTTTTACAGCCTCTTCCTCTTTGTTTCCCAGAGCCCTTCATGGTGGTGGGTAAGAGTTGCTGTCCCAATGCACAGAGGTGAGGATGAAGTGCAGAAGGGGTCAGTGAGGACACACATGGTCCTGCATTTCTGACTTCAGCTGTTTCACGTTAGCAGACTACTGTCACTAGCTGCTTGACTGTCCTAGAGCCCTAGTTTTGGCCCCCTACTCCACCCTAACACATGGAATTTCTTCCTGATTTGTTTTTGGTCCAGTGATCTGAGTTTAAAAAGCCACATTTTAGAGAGCAGTGCCACAGATCTCAAAGAGGGTGAGTGAGTTACATTACCAGGAGCAGAGATACAACATCTGGGGATGCTCCAAGTGCAGACATCTGTCAGCAAGAGGAGCACAGCGTCTGAGTTCTAAACTGTCCCCTGGCTGTGTAAAGCAGCAGTGCCAGGTTGTGGACCCAGCTCTCCCTGCTTCTACAGGAGTGTCTGCTGCATACCTGCTTCCCCCAAGCTCTGGAGTGGCAACAGTTTCTCCCCTATCATAAAGGAGGACCAGGGGATGTTCAGCAGCCCCTTGGCCGGGGCCTGAACAGGCACTACCCAAGGCACAGCTCCACCATATCATGCTGCTGGACAAAACCAGATGAATCCTACAGTGACCATTTCTATTTTTACCTTACAGCAAACGCTGCGCCAAAATATCTGTGAACTCCAGTATGCTTCTCTGTAGGCTAAAATCTACCCACCACCACACTTGGTTCTCATCAGGCTATTAAAATTCTTCAGTTGCTGACACTTCAGCACAGGAAACAACTGTGTCACACCCATGGCAAACAAGAAACGCGGCAGTAGGCAAGAATACCTTTACACTACTGCTGCCAGACCTCAGGAACACCCTCTGTAACTTAAGTCCTGCAGAAGCTTTGGTTGGCCTTTGCTTTTCTCTTTCATTTCATCCCCCTCTCGTGGTAGCATTTTAACAGTCTGAAACAAACTGATTTTGTTAAAGCAGTTCAAATAATTTGAAAAGCTGCTCTGTGTGTGTGTTGTTTTTCAACTAACTGTGGTAAAAGGTTATGCCAAGAGCATATCTTTGCAGACCTTATTAGTACTAAAGAAAGTAAGTTAATATATGCACAGCCTGCAGTGTAAGTAGTATGCTATTTTGGGCTACAAATCTAGAGCTAGTTTTAAAAAAGCTGGCACAAGAATCCCACTATTGACTGCAAGAGCTAAGCAAGTCCACTTTTCTTTCAGCTAAATACACCCTCTTATACCTTTTTTAGGGAATGTTTTACTAGCATCAGTTAGGTTGCTGACTT